AGTATCTCTGCATAACTTAAGAATGCGAGATATTAGTACAGCCTTTGAGGTCAGGCTGTTTTCAAGCAGTTACGCTGTAACCAACTGGATCCAGAATTCAAAAACACAAAGTGTTCCCAGCTCTCACCTGGCAGGCTTGGGCCAGGCTCATTCCCAGCCTGAAGCGGGCAGACATGCCCGGGGGCAGCGTGGTGGACAGGCCGCTGCCCAGACCTGGATCGATCACACGTAGGCATCGCACCACCGCTTCCACTATCAGCTCGCTGGTGAATTGCTTGACACTCTGGACATCTTCATCAATGTCTCTGTAAGACAGGGGAGAGATCAAGGGCAGTGTTTATTCATATGAAACTCATACATAGGATAAAAGGACTCACAGGACAAAAGCAGGTGGTAGCATGGAAAACTGTGAGTATACACAGACACACTGACAATTACAGTCAGTTTACTGCAACATGATATGCAAGCATTTCCTCATACTGCTTCATGTCTTGCATTAAGAAAAAAGATATATGTGCCAAATAGTTTGAATAACATTTAAAAAGGTATGCAAGGAGCACTTCCATACAACGCATACAGTTACAGGAACACACTTAACTGTCTATAAGAGATTAAACTGAATTGACTTTTATTTAAAAAAAATTTCATGGAGAGCAGTGAGATCAGAGCAGGTTGGGAATGCCACTCCAATCATGACCAACGATAGGTGCTTCAACACTTACGTGCCAGCCTGTCTTAGAGAGTGGATTAAAATCCGATCAACTTCTTCCATTACTGAAAGATATTAGATATAGCTGCAAAACCTTCTTAGGTTACAGGAACCCCCACCACGGACAGCCAAATGAATCTCATAAGGCTACCGCTAACCAGGCATTAGCATCGCCTACACTGGAGAATAGTGCACGGTTGCTAACTCAGACGTCAAGGTAAACAATTGACGATACCGAGCTAGGGGTACGACCACTGAATTATCATATTTGGGTCTCCGGAAATTCCTCTCAGAGACGCGTAAATCTATTCACATCGCTGCCAGGTCAAATACCATGGCACCAATACACGCTTTTAGCGTCTAGTCTGAAAATTCTGATAAAAAGTGAAAAGGAAGTCATATGCAAGGAGTGTCCGCCGCAGTGTAAGCTGGGATACGGAGTTTGAAGCAGCCTTAATGACTGTAGTCGTGGCTTTAAAAGTCCTCCAATAAAACTCTTTTTCCCACAAGCACCCACGATTCAAGTCTCATGACTAAAATGACGCTTAAGCACGCGCGCAGTGATCTGATGATCTGCTACTATTTATTTATTTATTTATTTATTTATTTATTGTAATTATGTGTTACAGACTCTGACTGATGAATGAAACCGACGGATGAATGAAAACGTTTTACACAGAATAAAATAGAATAGGAAGAAAATAACAAACATTTAATTAAATGTACTTAAAAATAAACTGTCAATTTTGTAAATATATGTTTAATCCTATAATGGAAAATATTTTATGTAGTTGTTTTTATATAGTACAGTCTAATGAAATACTTTGAATGAGTACATAAGCAAAAAACAAGTTAGCGTTGTTATAGCAGTTAGCAATAATAACATGTCGACTGGAATTTCCATTCATTTCATTTTCATTTTAAAATGTACTTTAATGGTCGAATTCCATTTTTTATTTTGGTGATTTTTGCTAAAAGAAGCTTTATTTGATTTATTTATTTATTTTAGACTAGCTGGAAAAAAATTGCAAAAACTTTTTCACATGACCAGAGGTGTAAAAAGTACAGAGAAACTGTGCTTAAATGGAAGTATGAGTATTTTGTCAAAGTCTTACTCGGTTTAAAGTGAAAATATGGAGCCAAAAAATATACCAGTGAAAGTAAAAAAGTTATTGACATTTAAACATGCTCAATAAAAAGTAAATGTTTTAACAAAAAAATAAAGTTTTCTTTGTTTGGTGGTGTGTGGTATGTGGTGCGGTGACTAATTGTCCTTGTTCTCACAGACAAATTAGCATTTTCATTTTCATTAGCAGTTTCATTTTACACTGAAATGAATATGGTTGGATGTTTTAATTAAAACAATAAATTCAAACCTCAAGTGACTGACCAGAAAAAAAGAGAAAAATCTGTCCTTTGAGATTTGTAACAATTACTCTTGTCTAGGTCTAAATAAAAATGTAAGACATAAACATTTTAAGGTTTTTTCTTGGAAATGTAATTGAGTAAAAGTACTGAACGTATTTAAAGTCAAATAATACATGAGTAAAATTCAAATCTTCCAAAGTAATATTTAATCAGATGTGCTCCAAATGTAGCAAGTCATAAATCCAGGTTAAAAACGAACACTCTCTTTTCATGAACGCTGAACTGAGCTCTAAGACTTGTACTTTCTTACTACACTCTATTTTCAGCTTTGCACATTTAATAAGCTAATTTTAACATCTAAGTACTTTGTCTTTAATTTTTAGATTTTTATGCTGCTTTTATGTCTGTAAAGCACATTAAGTTGCCCTTGTCTAGATTTATTTCCTTTTGATTATTGGTTTTAATTCTTTCAGCTATTGCACTTTGTATCCTTTTAGCACTTTATTATTCTATTCCAATTATTTTACTCTGTGTCTTCTTTTACATTTCTCACTTTGTCTATATTTTTTCTTTTATGGTTCTTTTTGATTTTATTTAGGAAAAGCATAAAGCACATTGAATTGCCTTTGTATGTGAAATGCGCTATATAAATAAACATTTCTACAAAGCAGGTACTGCTAGAACCAGGCAGAGAAAAGGGACAATATTACAATTTCAACAATGTTATTTTCCATTTTTAAGCAAAATATAAAACTCAGGCAGCTAAACATTTCAGAAAACTAGCCATCAAGCCAATATGAAAATACTGCATGCTAAACAAATTCAGGGAATAAATTTGAATATTTATTCTCAATATACAGAATAGGTGATTAAGAGCATTTTAAACCCGCAACTACATGCAAGTTCCTATGGAAGTCTATAAAAATAATGTAGTTCATAGGTACATTTCCTATAGGAGGGATAATTTTCTCTGTCTTATTTTAGAATCATGCATTAAACATACACATACAAGCCAAAAAGGCTGGTATTGCCCAACTTGCTATTACACAGAGTGCTGTAACAGCATGTGGAGTGGGCTGCAGTAGTTGTCCTTTGTGGTTTTGTGTAGTAAGTAATGTTTTAGTGGTTAACTGGCCTGAATGTCTGGAACCACAGGACTGAATGTTTCTGGTCTCTGGAGGCAGGTTACTGACCACATATTTATCAGTCTAAAAAAATCTGTCTCAGCGTCAGTCTGACATCAAACCAATAAAGATAACACAGTCTAAGTCATAAGTGGTTAGAGTGAAAAGAAAAAAAAAGTTCATATTTTATGTTAACAAAATCCATACACTATCAGTCAGTAGTAAAAGTAGCCAATAAAAAACAAACACATGTAAAACAGAGCCAGGAAAGATCATGACCCTTAAGCAGCAGCATCTTAGGGAAAAATATAAAAATTTAAATGAACTAATAAGGGAAAAGTGAGATTAAACAATAGTCATGTTTTTGTTTATTTGCACTCAGCAAAGCAAATTTTCATCTTTTTTTTTTAGATTAAACAAAATTAGACGTACATTGCAGAATTTTTTGTGTAAAGCCACAAACCAGCCACAAAACTGAAACCTGAGGGGCTTGACAACAGATAACATTTCTAATTTTATTCATTTTATTTCATGCATTTAGTCATTTGTGTATATATATATACATACATATATATATATATATATATATATATATATATATATATATATATATATTTAATGGCTATTTGCTCATCTAATGCTTCTATCTGCAGCGAATTGCCCAAAGCTTTTGAGCCCCCTCAGGCCTTCTATCCAGGAACAGTCAGAGGTTCCTGAGCACTGGTCCCACTGGCCTGGTCAGTAATCCCTCTGAGCAGGTCAACAATCTGCTAAATTATCAAATCTGACTAAGAATCTGAATGTTTACACATCTGTCACCTCCCGGATCAAACTGGACTCCTTTCATTTTTTTTTTAAAAGACAAAGCAGCAGTCTGTACTGCTGTATACTGCAGTGAACACTAAGCAACACTGAAGGAAAGCTGTGGCTGACAGCCAAGTAATGAGGAACAGAACAGGATTCAGTCCAACATGAAAAGCGAACTAAAAATAACAATATGTGACAAATCATCAGTGAGGACAAAGCACGCACTCAGATGCTTGAATAATGGAAAAAGCAGATTGTTAATGTTTGAAGTGCTTCTGTATTAATGGTGCTCTTTTCCTTTTACTGAATTGCCTCAGATTTCCTCTACGTGGCACTATCATTTTCTTACTTACTAAAAAAAAAGAAAGAAAAGGAATTCCAACACTGAAAACACGAGTAAGATTCCATTTGGAGATGATCATGTGTGCGGCATGTTGTTTTCAAACATTTTAAAATGGGATATCTTATGTGTGGATGATGAAGCCACTTTTAACTTTTTTTTGGAGCAGGACAAACTGCCAAGGCTGTCAGACACTGAATGGATTCATACAAAATTAATAAGCTGTGGTTTGGAAAAAGTTGGATTTTTCAGCAGGACTGCTAACTCAAGGACTGGCAACAGAAAAGAACTGTAGAGAAACTGCAAAGTTTGACTGATTATCTAGACACTGGAAAAAAAAAAACAAGAAAAATCTTAATCATAAGAATTTCACAAGAACATATAAAATATGAAGTTCGTACATACACAATCAACCTCTCTGAAAGTGGACTGAGTTGTCTGATAATAGATTAGTTTGAACTCTTTCACTTATGAAGCCAAAATGCTGCTCTCTTTTAGCCTGGACGTCCACAGACATGCTGTGAAAAAAGACACAGTGTTCTGTTTTAGCTTGGTCTAGGAGTGACTTCAGTAGTATGTGTGACATCACGAGAAATTTGAGCTTGCCGTTGTGAAGGGCCCTCCCTTTCTGCCTTTTTCCCCCACACATGTGCTTCCCCCCTGCTCTCTCGCACCCTTCATTGGATCCATAGTGTCCTCTCTCTCTGTCTCTCTTTCTCTCCTTTGGCTATACTAAGTCTTTTCTCAACCGGGGGGAAAAAGGTAACATCTCAAGCAAGAAAACTTCTCAGAGAACGCTTCACATCTTCTGCCTCTGAGAAAGCCTCATTTACTGCTTTTAAAGGTGAGACACTCTTTTGTTTTGAGAGCTCAAGACTTTGCCAGGCACACGGAGCCATAAAACAAACTGCTGTTCTTGACAGGAAAGGCTTAGTAACAGTAATCTATGTGTTTGCATAATTACATCTCTTAAAGTCTTCTAATTATTATTAGTGTTATTTTTATTAACAACAAGCTACTGTATTCAATTTGAATGTACTTGAGTGCTGACGGAATTTGAATGGTATAACTTTGTTCATGAGGTCCATGAGTTTGGTTTCTCTCAGTTAGCTTAAAAAAGAAAAAACATAATGAATAAGCAGAAGTGCAGCAGATTAAATAGCAGCAGATTAGTCATTTATGAGAGTTGGATTTTGGATTTTATATATGTATGTATGTGTAACTTAGCATGAAATTCCTCTGTATCTATCTATCTATCTATCTATATCTATATCTATATCTACATATATATATATATATATATATATATATATATATATATGTGTGTGTGTGTGTGTGTGTGTGTGTACATGCAATGTTTTTGGCCGGCTGTTTCACTTTCAGCTATGGTGAATTGCGTGAATTGAGTTATATACAAAGAATCTATGCCTGGTGACCTATAATCAAATCTACATTTGTTTATATCAGCTTTGCTCATAATGTTTTTTTTTTCAATCAACGGAATAGAAAGTCAAAGGCAGCATCCACACAGTAAAGTAACTCTTTTTTCTGTCCCTCCAGACGTAGTCTAACACCTTAGAATTGTATGTTAAAAGTAACATAAAGAACTTACAGTGGTGCCACACTTCTTTTATTTGGCTTCTCCACTCTTTCAACAATGCAATGTGTAGCACCAACATTTATTTAGTGATTAGAAACAATAGCAACTGATCTCGTTGTTCATTTTCATTGTTGATCCACGTCTGCTCAGACTGTGCAGAGTACCAGTGCACCAGAGGACCAACGTAAGTTTCCAAAAGAAAAAAAAAGGCTACAAATCGGTTACATAACATGTACAGTTAGTACCTGTCAGCACAGTTGAAAATCAGCCTAATTCTAGATGTAGTATTTTGCCTGCTCCAATTCTTTGTGGGATTATGTGGATAAACTTCTTAACCTCTGGTTATTGACACCTACATGTGCATAATTGATTGGGTCATTTCACATTGCTGGGGAAAAATAGGAGAGACTCACTAACACAAAGAGATTCTTTGACATTAGGCCATAAGGCCTCAGTTCCAGAAACAGTGGACAAACACAAATTTAAAATGTTGCATAATGTGGTAAAACTGTAAGGTCCATTATCTTAATTGTCATATGCTTAGAGTATAAATTTGTCCAGGAGAAGTAGTGTGGTGCTGTCACATGCTGGTAACGTTCATTTTAGGGCCTATGTGGGTGGGGGCATTATCAACACAGCCTCATGTAGCTGCAGTAAACCATACAATACTTGGAAATGGTCCCATGAAGTGGTGTCTGGTGATTACATAATCTTTTAAACCCAGAGAGTTGTGCTTTATGAATAGGGTCTTTTCAACATACAAGGTTTTAAGCAGTGTGGGATAAGAGAGTTGGACACAACGTAAGATTTGTAAGCCTAAAATATGTGGTAGCATTCCGGTCTTATCAGAGGAAATCACTATCAAGTGGAAACTAAGTGGAATGTGGCTTATTTGTTGTCCTGGAACTCATGGTGGAATAGCCACACAAGAGCTGAGATCTACACAATTTGTTCGCAACAAATGGCTTCCTTGGCCAGTCAGAGCGGACGTCCGGGACATATTGACCCTCCTCTGTTATGACCAGGGAAGTCCAGCAGCTGGACAACAAATATGAAGTGCTGACAGACAAGGCATTGTGCAATCAACAATAACGCCTCAAACGCCAGCGCCACAACTTTTGCCGTTCAGCCACATGACCCTGTGCATGAATATGATCATAAAGAAAAAAAAAGCTCGCTTTGTTTTCTTTGGTTTCAATGGAGGCAAAACTACCCATTCATTTTGGTTTCATGGAAATATGTCCAAGAACAAATTGTAGAGGACGTTTTTCATGGTTTAGCCAAAGTATGCGCTCTATCATGCAGATGTCTGGGGCCTAACGTTCCAGCCAAGGCAGAAATTGCAGCGTCCCATGGGTAACGCAGAAACTCAAGCACAGGCACGTCCAACACGTTATTGCATTGGTAATAAAAAGAGCGTTTGTGTAGAGGAAAAAGCTTCTACTTTTGGCCTTTTTAATTCTTTGCAGTAGAGCCTGCTTTTGCCTAATAGGGAGAGAGTGAGAGTCTATAGGGTGTTAGTGCTGAAGCAGGGGAATGGAAGAAAGACAGAGAGGAATGTTTGTGAAATGGGTGGAGAGAAAGCTCACATAGCTGTTTAACTCGAGCAGAGGGTGAGTGTGGAGTGTGCTGATGACGTCAGAACAGTTTCAGGGCAGATCCGCCCCTCAAAACTTACACTGACCACCAAAATGGCTGCACATCTGTCAAGGCTGCTGAACAGAAACTTTCTGGTTTAGTCACTTTTGGTGGCAGTGTTGTCAATACAACTATTTGCTCATTATTGAAAATAATGGCGCCATAAAGGATTTTTCAGAGCAATGTCATAGAAGAGCCATTTTCGTTCCCTTAAAGAATCTTTCAATGGATGTTTGAGTTTTTTTAAGGTCTGAAAAATCTCCACATAATATAAAGGGACTACAACAATTAAAGGTACTTCTAAGCCAAGAACTGATTAGGAACCTGCAGACAAAAGCGAAAGATGATGGGTTAAGTAGCAGCAAAGATCTCTTATCAGTGGAAGCAAGGAGAGGGTTAAGGGGTGTTACTGAACTCATTCCCTCTACTCTACCCCCTCAGTGTTCCACCCACATCCCTATATGTCACAGCTGGGTGCTAAGAAGGTTAAGCAAATAAGTCACTGAGAGTCCAAACTGTTTGGCCAGACAGTTGTCACTGTTCATTGCCAATTAACTTCTGAATCAAACACACAGACTCGTGGGGTTACAACACACTGTGACGTCCAGTGATGTCTATGCTGTGAATTGAATTGGGGGTAAGCTTCCTCAGGGGAACACAGGTTTGGGCTGTTTTTTTTGTACTCAATCATTTAAATTTTCCCTTTCTCACCACTCTTCCTGGGTTAAAGGTCTTGGTGAATGGAAGAGCCACATATTTTGTGGCTGACAAATTTGTAACTTGAGATTTATGACCAAAAGTTCACTGAGAGCTGGAGGTGATACAGAAAAAGAGTTGTGGTTTCAGTATCTCCTTGTTCTTCAGACAGTAAAAACATTCATGATTGTTGTCTATTCCTGATATTTTAGATAAGACATGCAAAGCATGCCATATACAGTATTGTGCAAAAGTCAATGACATCCCTTCATTTATTTTGTTTCCAGTCAGAATGGCCATTGAGTATATGTTATTCATTTTTTAGTAGATATTTCTGAGAAAAAGATTTAAAATAAAATAATCTGCTAGCAGAAGGAAGGAAAAGAAATAAAAAAAACAGAGGTAAGTAAAACTGGAGTTCAAAAAACAATATAAGAGACTCAGTAAAACAAAGAAATTCTTTGAAAGTATATCATATGGCCTCGTTCCCAAAAACAGTGGGCAAACTTGGGTGAACTTAATGTTGCATAATGTGGTGAAACTGTAGGGTCCATTATCTTTATTTTTATTTTTTTCAGAATGAAAATTTGTCCAGGAAAGTTACATAGTGCTGTCACATGTGGGCACGAGCATTATCAACACAGCCTCATGTAGCTGCAGTAAAGCATACAATACATGTTCTTAGATAAGTATAACCCACTTGCATAAGGAAGAAAAACAAATTTACCAGAAAGTGCAACCAACATCTAAGACTGAACTTTGGATCCCTGCAGATTTCTTTGAAAACCTGAAAGCAAGTCTCCTCAAAAGAATAGAAGTTGAAATAGGGACAAAAAGTGGACACAGAAATGCTGAAAGTTCCTCCATTTCAGGGGAGTCATAAGTACGCTGTTGTTTCTTGACCAGCTGTGATTCATTCTATCATAAGTTTATGCTCAACAGGGCCAACAAAAAGTCTAGAGTTGATACTAGATGTGGCCTTTCCATCTGCAGTCTGCTGTTTCTTTACAGCAGTGCCAATACTAGTAAAGCCTGCCATCATATATTGGCTGAATCAGAGAGATCAATATTAGGTATCAAAATCAACTGCTTGGTGCATCATTAAGAAGCCAGAACCATAGAATTCACCAAGAATACTTTCACTCATGAAAAACAGACCAAGAACACTATCCAGGATAAAGGCATAGATGTGGAAACGACTGAAAGAAAATACCAGCATGCCCTGAGAGTTTACCACATGAGGTAAACTATTAGCATGCCTCAAGAAGTTTGCTAAAGAGTTAAAACTACAGAGTGCTGGGATGAAGTTTTATAGACATAGAAAAATAACCTGTATCAGAGTGAACCAGAAATCATGTATGAAGAAATCAAAAAACCAATGAAGCAGCTATGGAGTTTTTCTCAGGGTTAAAACGTGGAATGTTCTTGACTGGCCAAGGCAGTCATAAGACTTGAATCCCATTGAGCACGTATTTCACTTATTGAAGGCAGACTGAAAAGCTCACAAAATATGCAGGAACTGAAAAAACGAGGCATGAACAGGGGCCGTAGAACTTTGCAGTCATGAATATGGTCAATTATTTACGGCCCTTTAAAATGAGGGAACATGCATGATGAAAATGGCGGAAATTCTTAAAGGGTTAACACTATTTACATTTAAGGACTCTCATTCTGTTCTTACATTCTAAGCTCAACATCACCGCCTTGTGCTTATTTCAAATCCAATTTGCTGGAGCACAGAGCCAAAACAAGAAAAATTATATTGTCACTGTCCAATTATTTACAGACTGCACTGTAAAAGACATGTAATTTGCCTGTTTTGTAGATTCTAAATTAGTTAGCAAATGGGTCCCTCTGTAATTATGTCCATCTGGTTTCAAATTAACAAACGTGTCTCCACCTTAGAGTCT